GATCCAGAAAAGATCCTGGATTATCTCATACCAAAGCTCGTAAACGGCCAAGCCCCAGACTACATCAGCGAGCCATTCCACCACACCAAAACACTCCGTTCGCTGAGGTCCTCTGACCAGGGGCTTCGGCAGTGCCCAGGGACCCGACTAAAGAACCTCCAGGGGACCGGCGTTTGGGGCGGCCGCCCTAGACTCTGGAAGCACTACCCGTCCTAATCGGCTCCCTCCCTCAACCTGTTCAAGGGACACCTAAAGACCACTTATTAAGCAGGCGTTTGAGGTCAGCTTGCCGTTCATCACGTCACGTCCTGTCACTGTCGATCACTGGGCCTCTTGCACTTGGTTTCATGTTTGTATATTGTTTTAAGTTTATTCTATTTGTCCTGTCATGTTTAATCTTTTGGGTTACTTATTATGCCTTAGTCCTATTGCCTAATTGTTTTGCTGCTATATTTTTAACAGACTCGTGCATTCGTGCGGGGAAGGGGGCTTAGAAAAATAAACTTTTACTTTAATACTTTACTTAACTTACTCTCTCTCTCCTCTCTTCTCTCGAATCGACAGTCCTTTTATTTGCCAATGAACAATAACGAAATCACAAAAAACAAGACACCAGCCAGATCACTTTCATTCACACACCAAGCAGGCGACCGCGGCAGATAATTCACCACACACTGCACGCTTCCCGTGGTTCCCATCATGTCACTTTCAGTTTTCTCCGCCCTCTCACTTCCAGTCACTCCGCAACACTTCCAGTAAAATACGTCATCAAAAGCGTTGAAAAATTCGACTTTGAAAAAAGTAAAAAAATGAACGGTGGGAATGTAAATAGTCGGCGCGTCCATCTCGTGACGTTCCGCAGTAGATCCGCAACCACCCCACGAAGGCGGAGGTCAATGGGCAGATTTCCAGCGGCAAATCAAAACTCGTCAAATTCATTGCCTATTCCACATCTTTGATATGGGTTAATAACAATTTTGTCATTACTTACAATAGCCATAAACGACATCGCACAGTGCACACTTCACTGGCCTTTATAATCCCATGTAAGCTGGGCTTTGGGGGACTTCCATGGGAACCTTATTTCGGAAAAGGTATTATTGAAGTCAAGCGCCGAAGCTGGGGCAGGGGCCATGGCCCGCACCCCTCTTTTCGCCCTGCCCCCAATATTTCGCAGCGGCAATGCCGCGAAACACTGACTAATCCGTTTCAATATTCCCCTCTACTCTAAAGCCATCTAAAACCGCCAATCTGCTAGCTGTGATTATTTCTGTTATTTTTGATTGTTAATTCATCTCACCAGCTACAGCATTTTGAAGCTTGTAAAGGGAAGAGAGCGCTCCACTCGCCACTCTGCCCCTTCCACATGCGCCG